TCGGCGTCCAACAATTGTCATATTTCTTGACTTGAAGGCGGCCTTCGACTCCGTGGATCGAAAGGTACTATGGCAATGTCTGACTGTGAAGGGAGTGCCAAGAAAGTACATTGCACTAATCAAGGCACTCTATTCAAACTCACGTAGTCGTGTAAGGGCTTATGGGGAATTGTCATCTGAATTGGTAACAACCAGTGGTGTCCGACAGGGATGTCCACTTTCCCCATTTCTGTTTAACTTCATCATAGATATGCTGATGGAAGTATCCTTAACTGAACGTAATGACTTAGGAATCGACTTGTTACCAGGGAATAGTCTTATGGACTTAGAATATGCAGATGACATAGTCCTGTTAGGGGAGGATGCTGACAAAATGCAGAGTCTTCTGAACACCTTGAGCAGCAATCTTCGTATGTTTGGCATGCGATTCGCCCCTGCAAAATGTAAGATGCTGCTACAGGACTGGACACGTCAACTCCTAACTTAGTGATAGGGAGTGAAGTGATAGAACATGTTGACCACTTCACCTATTTGGGAAGTTGTATTAGCACCAACGGACTGATTGGCGATGAAATCTCAGCACGGATCCGAAAAGCTCGAGCTGCTTTCGCTGACTTACACCATCTCTGGCGTAGGCGTGACATCCGGTTATCAACCAAGGGACGTGTGTACTGCTCATCAGTTCGCTCCGTCCTTCTCTATGGCTCTGAAACATGGCCAATACGCGTTGAAGACATGAAAAGGTTGACTGCTTTCGATCATAGATGTCTGCGATCTCTGTCTCACGTTAGGTGGTTTAATAAGGTAAGTAATGTTGACGTTAGGCGTAGAGTGTTGGGCAAAGAGGGAAAATCAATCGACGAGGCTATAAAGTTACATAGACTGAGATGGCTAGGTCACGTCGTGGTGCGCATGCCTAACCACCGCCTCCCCCGACGGGCATTGCTAGCTGATATAGGTTCAGGTTGGAAAAGAGCCAGTGGTGGCCAAACAAAAACATGGCATCAATCCATGAAATCCTTGACAGTTAAACTGAGTCAGGTAGGGAGATGCAGACTCCGGGTTGGGGCCCTCGGGACTCTAGGAATCAATGGCTGGAGACAATAGGTGACATGGCTCAAAATCGTTGTCAATGGCCAGCGCAGATGTATTCAGTCTCTGTAATCTTTCATATTCCTTTCTACCATTACCCATTCTGTTTCACTCTTATACTTGTCAAACTCTATTAATTCTCTTCACTCATCTTCTTGTCTACCTTTGTGTGCTATTTGGAACGTGGCAACTCGAACTGCTGCACTTCGGTGCCAAGTTCTATGTTGAATCCAGACAGACATAGACATAAGGAATTAGTATTTCTGTCCAATAATAATAATAATCAGCCTGTCAGATCGAAATGTAATATCACAATCTCTTCCAGAATTTAAGTACAACTGATGCTCATTAGACGAACAAAAATTGGCTCTGGCGATACACCTTTGACATTTGACAGTATGGCTACTAGGTTTTGAATCTCAGGTGGGAACACTCACTAGGAGACAGGTATGTCAGGCTTATAACTATCAGATATAGTGGAGGAAAGTCACATCCTTGGTTTAAGTGCAAATCACCACCAACCAACCAACCAACTAAGCAAAGTTATTGCTCATCTCAAAAGATATCTTCAAACAGTGTTGTACATTAGGTGGCAGTTAACACGTCAGCAGTGACCAAATAATTCAGTCAAATATAAAGGGGAAATGAAAATAACTGCAGAAAATCAGACAAAAAAGCTGAATCAACAATCTCAAAAAAGAATGGAATTATTTACGACTAAACATACACACACACGTGAACGTCACCACTTGATGACCTTAGCTAAATTCAAACTTGGTGATAATAGTATATGGTGTACCACATTTTATTTATTATCAATATGTACTTTTATGAATATTATCACTTTTTGTTCTTCTTAATTATATTAGCAAATTATCACTCACTTCGTATTGATTAGACAAATTGAAACTTATTCTCTGTCACAATATATTCATATATGTTCCGTATGGAATGGGAATTGTGGAGATTTTGAGTAGTTTAATTTAGTCCGTTAGGTTTTGTTGAGAGCAGATCTGTATTACCACGAGTTTGAAAAACTAAAATCCAGGGGAGGGGGTTGAATGGTTAACACGCCTGGCCTCATAACCTAAAAGTCCCAGTCCCTGTTGGCGTCATGGATGACCACAGTGAGGTGTCCGAAGAAAGAACGAGACAGCATTCCACCGGTGCTCCCTGGTTTTCATTGATCCCTCTAACTAATGGTGGTTCGTGACGAAATCGACCAATCGAAATTGAATAAATATTTATCAATTAGATGTGTATACACGTTGGATCGACGAGAAAATCCTAGAAGTTCTGTACTTTGTGAATCACTTATGCTTCATGCTGTAAAATCTTTAGTATTTACAAGTGAAAACCAGAACGTTGGCAAAAGAGGTAGCAAAGGCAGTAATTTTCAGGGGAAAAGAGAAAAGACAGAGAATGCCTGGCCAAAAATAACAAACATTATTCACAATCAACCACAAAAATTTAGATAAATACAGATGGTGGTGGTGAAGCCAATCACAATCGATGTGGAGGTCTACAGCACTTGGCATAAGCAACAAGATCCGAATTTCAGCAAATACTGATGTCAAGTCAATCAATTCTTCTACATGGTTCAGAGACTCGGCGCATCATAAGCGATATTTCTAACACGGTACTGCAAACTTTCATCAACAGATCCTTCCACTTGACACACTTATTAGACCACCAGTCAGAAAGGGCAAACAAACAATTTGAAGCTATGGCAACGAACCAATCATTAACCCATCAACCAAAAAAAGAAAGAGAAATGTATTTGAAATACGATGAGTAACTTTATGTTCTTGGTAGGTAATCGTCGGATGGAACGCAAATAGGGAACGACGACTTCAGCGTCCCTAAGTGACATACGAGAGGTCATGAGGAAATGAAGGCTTATTGGGTATTGTGGGACCAACTAGAAATGACTGCAGGGAACAGAATAAATGGTAACCGCCCTAGCTGAAGCCCTTTTCCTCCGCTAGGAACCCAAGTTACGAATACTAATCATATTCATACAGGATGCACAATTGATGAGTACACTTAGAGAAATTTAAGAATTCACTATACAGTGATCACACAATTTTTAACAGTTGTTGCTTGTAATAAATTAATCATAGGAGAGAAATATTTCCAAGATGGTCTAAATCACTAAAATAAAGAAATAGAGAGATATGACTGAAGGTGGTGAAATGCGAAATTTGGATCACAGCGTTGGTACGATCGAATGACGGCTTTCGAAATACCAGTTAGATGTTCCGCTAGCCACCAACTGCTAACAAGGTTAGAATTTCAATAAATCTTCCGTTGACCCTCAATTATCACCAATCACCAACTCTAGACAATCACACATAATCAAAAGAATCAGTTACCTCCAATTATGAAAATCATAACACTTAAAAAATGGGAATGAAATCACACAGATTACGGGAATTTGATCGGATTAAACCTTTTAAATCACGAATTGACATCAGTTAGAGAATCCTTAAAAAATCACGAATATTTACTGAATAGGTGCTTCATCTTAGTTGGGAACTCTGTAGCGGCGTACGCCACACACTATCAGAGAGAGACAGTACCCAACACACTTTAAGTTACGAGGTGAGTCAATGTGATAGGATCCAATGGCCCGCCTATGAGTTCTAACTTTTGTCGGTTTGTGATATATACAACGCTCCCATCACCCAACGAAAAGTCGTGAGACTAGTGAGGTACAGCGTGTCAGTTTGAAGCGGATGTCCACCGATGACATATATATATATATATATATATATATATATCACGAAATGACAGAAGTTAAAGTTCACAGGTCACTGAATCTTAACAGAGTGGTTGCATTGTCTACAGTTTCTCTCCTTCAGTAAACTAAAGAACATAGGTTCGATTCCCAGGACTGAGTTCATGAGGGTGGACTTTTAAAGACTTTGAAACTAAGGTGAAACAGATGTTCAGTGGAGCTTCTTGGTTTTTAACGATTCTCTAAACCTACCAAATATGGCCTTAGACAACCACTCAGAATTGCCTAATGACATGCCTTAATGAATATAAATAGTAGTGAATCATCGTAACCCTAATACTAAATCTATTCCTTAACGTGAATCCCACACCTAACCCTAACTGAAACGCAAAATGAGGACGGAGTTATGGATAGAGTACATGTTAAGACAGAAGAAAAATCTGATCGGTTTTTCTTCTCAAGGTCAGTTTGTAAGCTATTCGCTTTGCTGTTGTAAGTTACTTTAAGCTTATTGCCAATCGCGTAACAACGCATTATTCATTCAATATGCGTTAGTTATATCCAATAAAAATTGTTATTCTGTTATTGGGGAAGTATACTCTTTACCACAGTGCCATAAAGTGTATGTATATACAGGGGATAATGGGTGGAAACAGTTTAGTATAAAGTATTTGAAATGTTTTTTAAAAATAAAATACTTTTCCCTGTAAAACATTACTGTTAATCAAAAATAATGAAAAAAAAGAATATTGAGCAAAATATGAAGATACTTACAAAAATGATAAACTACAGTTAATTGACCAATCAGATCTGAGAATTCTATATGACCTTCAAGGTGTTTGTTATATACCTAGACATGTGATTGCACTCCTACTACACCTATGCAGATTAACCAATAGGCGTGAAGATAAATCACCCCAATTCAAGTATATATAGACTACCAAAACAGCTGACTAATTTACTCTATCAAAAGCAAATACACAGATATCTCCTCTATACATTGTGATTTCTTCGGACGGAGAACAACACCATCCATAGAGAAAGAGGGCAGTTAGTTATCTAAAATATTGTCAGTCGCATTATTGTTGAAAGCAAGGAAATTATACAAGAGTAATTAATTACTAGTAATAACGGTAATATTAAAACTATGAAAAGAAATATCATCATTATGAATCCAATATTATTAATTACTTTCTGTTTCTATCAACAAGCCAGTATAATTCAATCATTGACAGCATTTCGTGAGACTCAACAACAGGAAGAACAACTAGTCAGCAGCAGTCCTATGTATCAAAATGAATTATTATCATCAGAAGGCACTGGTGATGATATCCCACAACTACTGGAAGGAAACCAGAGGCAACACGATGAACAAGAACTACACCAAGTAAATCCAGGTAAATTTATTCGTGAAAAATCCTCACACCCATTATTCTTATTACCACCATCACGCTCATTTTCAAATAATGATTTACACAATTATCCCCTAAAACCGACAGTATATCAGTATGTTAGATCTTGCTGTAATCGTGAAGTAATGCGACCGATGGGTGGTGGACATATGACAGGACCATGTTGTGCACAGTTAATACGATTTAATTATTTCATTCGACTATCATATAAATGGTTTAAAGAAGTAATGAAACAAACGAATAAAACATAATAATAATAATCATGGTAAAAAATTATGCCTAAAATATATTAGGTAACAACAATTACCCTTTTCTGAAATAAATAATTATTCAATGTCCAAGTATATTGTGATACAAGATGTCTATTCAATGTGTTCAATGTGAGCACTGAACATATTGAAATTTAGCGTAATCGTTGATATAATACCTGATAATGATTCATTTAACACTGTCTTGACAATAATTTGATTTTCTTTCTTTTTGTTTAATTTCCTCTAAATGTTGTGCTGTTCTGCTATTGATTGATTGATTTTCTAAAACAGCATTTCTTTGTTATTCTCGTTATTTCCTGTGACACACTCTATAGACATCTGTTTGTACGTTTGTGATGCTGATTTTTGTTATCATTATTATTATTTGATTATGTTGAATAGAATATATTTTTTATTATACATATATACATAATAAAGGGTTAAAACATACTCATCCAAACAAAACAAAGCCAAAAAAAGTATTGAACAACTTCTGTTACATAAATGTTCTGTTTCATTGATTGATATTACGCATTGTGTATGTCTACACTTATCACCAGCATCATCATCATCATCAACAACCACTCAGAGATTCGAAAAACATTCATTCACATGGAGAGGAAAAAAACGCCAAAAGACAGAAATCCACTCTCTCTCTCTCCTTTCTACTCTAATCTACTCATCTTCATGAGTCAGCCGATTGTTAAATATTACATGTTTTCGAAACTTCACAATTTTATTTTTACAATATATTTATATGTGACTGACTAGCTGACCAGGCTGGCTGGCTAACTAACAATTCATTCATATGAAATTTTGTACATAAAATATTAATATTGAATAAGCGTAGAACATAATGGATAAGTGATTAGTTGATTTCTACTATTTACTTTTTTATAGTTTGGTTTGTAAGGGTTAGTTATGTTTTTACGAGTTGATCATAGATTGATATCAGTTAAAGAACCATTGAAAACCAGCCACAGGGAGTACTGCACAGTTGCAGTTACATCATAGTTTAGGAATCATCGGCAGTATGCACCCAGTAGGATCCGAACCCAGGGCCTCCTGGTTACATAGCAAGCTAACTCGTATGCAATTCAACCACTGGGACCCGACCCGATTCAATGGCTAGCCCATGCATGAATTCTAACTTCTACCAATTCGTGATTTAGCGCAACCCCAACCATTGTCGTCGGTGGGATTTCCATCCTCACACGTGACATCTAATTGGACCTCAATGGTCACGACTGCTCACTAGAACTCCAGGAAACTCCATCCTGCAACAAGTCACTAGCGAGCATCAGATTAATTTTCTATAGTTTGGTTTGTAAGGGTTAGTTACTATTTACGGCACGTATATATATATATATATATATATATATATATATATATATATATATATATATAGTGGGTATTGCATCCGAGTTAATAATGTTTTATGATGTCTATAGTTTTCCCTACTACCTTCAAATAGGATGTGGGAAACGCGCATCGTAAACTTTATTCGTTATTAACTACGGCAACTACAAAAACCAAATGAGTAAATTCGAGTTAGACTTTTTTTGTTTTCTTTGAAATCATTTCGCGGTAAAAAAAAAAGATAATTCATGTTTTGATTTGACACTAGTAACTAGTGTGACGTGTCTGGTCCTTTCTTTGGTGCAGACTCAATCCAATCAGTTAGGTTGTAATGCGGCCACCATTCTAGGTAGCTCGCCATCACGGTGCACATTGATTTGATGATATTAGATGGTTGGAGGTAATCGGAAGATGTTTCATATTACAGTTTGTGAGCCACATTTTTTGAACGTGCCAATGTGTTTGCATCAGGGCTGATAATATTTACCTGATTCCCCAGATTAAAGTAGACAGAGTGGAATTTAAATCTAATAATGCAATTACTGAAAGCAGTAAGCTAGATCCCTAGTAATATTACTTTCAGACTCTAGCATATCGGTTTGTTAAAACGTGATGAATGAAAAATACTAATGTTATTTGAAGTCGTAGAACTAGTAGTAATGAATTTATACATGATCAATAAAGAAATCTTTGTATATATATTTCAGAATTTTTCTCCCAGTGTTAAAATTGAAATCTCCTTTACACCTCTGTGAGGTCCGAGTGTGAACCTCGGGGTTTCGTGGATGTTACCCAGTTGTCTAGACTGATATAAGTGGGGATATGAGTCGAATCCGCGACCCATTACTGATTGAAAGTCGACTGTTTATGTCGATCAACCGCACCTCCACAGTCAATAACTTATTCGAATACTCGAATTTCGGTTTTCATAGGGATTAAAATTAAGTTCATTGTAGAATAAATCACAAAGCGATAAAAGATAGAGAATCGTCGAAAACCGTGAAGCGCTACTGGACATTTGCTTTGTCTAATGAATTCCTCTAAGATACAACCCAAAAACTCTAGGTTAAGGGACTAGCTTGTCGATCATTTGGCCACATAAGTGGAATTCAGTGATTTGTGCATTCTAACTTTCGACGAAACAGCAACCCATTGCTATTTCGTTCTCAATGACTCTCTAATTGATGTCGTTTCATGACGAAATCTTCCCAGTAATTTGTCTGAATCCCCACTCAAACCGACAAATCTGAATAGGAGTTTTGTTTTATGAAACGTATTGTGTTGATTTCCACCCGCCAACTTCAACACTTCTTATTAAAATTAAATTTTGATTAGAAATATGCGCCAAAAATTTCCAGGTTTTATATTTTCTACACTTTTCGATACATATTAGATGACCAAAGGCGATCGACAGGGAACCCTGCTCACTGGCAGATAGCAGGGAGTATCTGTAAAAGAACTTATCCCACTGAGTGATTCAAACACATATCTCATTCAGTGCTGCAGAGATAGAAAGAAAAATCATAGGTATGTAATACGTCAAGTGGTTGGTCACGGCGTTGTAACAAGTGTCATATGTACAATCTCTAGTGTTGGTATTGATATAATTTTATAAGTTTTTGATATTGTTAGGTTCTCTGAGCTGCGCAGCTTAGTTGAGAAGCTTTCATTGTCTTCTAGAAAATAACGTTAGTACAAGAGACTCTTCATAGCTACCTAAGCTAATGTTAGAGACAATCGACGGGAAGCGCTGAATTTACCTCGCTTCTTGCCACTCGTTCATGCTTAATTTATTTTACGCTGCATTACCTGAAACAGGCAAGTTTCTCATGAAACAGACTAAATGCTATACTTTTCTTGTGAGAACCGATAATAATACCCAGTTATCTTTCTTATAGATCAACGTTAGCTGACATACAACTAGGCTGGTAAACAATAAGAGGGTTGACAGATCCAAACTTGATATCATAGCATGAAATCCTTGAATGTTGATTTGGTCTATATAGTAGTTTGTTGTCTCCTACTTTACGGCTGTGAGACGTTGCCGTTGAAAATGAAAGACGTGAAGAGGCTGACTGTCTTTGACCACAGAGTGTTTCCTTTCTACCGACCGTCTTAAATTGGTATAACACGATTGGTGATATTCAGCTTAGGTGTAGACTATTTGGTGAGAAGAAAAAATTAATCGATCAGTTGATGAAGGTGCATAGATTGAAGCCTCTAGCTTAACCGCTGAGCATAGAAAAGGCATTGCCCACTAAAACCGTCAGACAAGTATAGTACATCGATTCAGATGGTTAGGGCATGTGTTGCGAATGACGATTTAGTGTCTTCCTCGTTGAGCAATATTAGCTGACATAGGATTAGGTTGTAGAAGGGTTAGGGTTGGATCAAACCAAAACGTGAAATCAATCCATGAACTGCTTTATCTCATTTCATATTGGAGACAGCCTTTGTAGCCTTAGTTACATTTTCAGGACTGGTGTCGACGCCTCATTCAGGTGGATGCTAGGCAAATTGATCACGTCACGGCTAGTGTTGAGAAGGACAGAATAAATAAATGGCCGGAAAAACAATAACTGATGCTTAACTGAAACGAGTGCATAAAGACATAAGCAGGGATTGAAAATTCCGCACAATTGAGACCATAAAGTTATATATACGGCGAAATAAAATATGAGGCAGACTTTTTCCCCATTAAACTTGCATTCAGAATGAAATAAAGAGCGTCAAGCTTAGAGGTTTCAGGGACGGTTATGTTGCTTTTACGACGTAGGTTTACCAGCCTGTGTTTTCGGCTGATGTATGGGGAAAAGCTGTCACATTCATAGGCGACATCCCACCACAGCACCACGCACCCCGGTCCGCCCCTCCTTAGTCGACCTGGACAACCCGCCCTCCGACAAGTCATTTATATCGGCACGTTTTTAGCGTGAACGCTCGGTCAATATGAGCACCCAAATGCCATAACACTCGGTCCCGTGAAATTCCACACCCTGGCCTCCAAATAGCTGAATTACAGGCGTAAACCAGCATATGGAGTCCTGTCGCTGCTGCTTCTTCTGTCAACCTGTTGGTTCTGGCCTGTAAGTCTTCGAATTTATGTGAGTCGGGAGTCGAAAATTGAAGCAAGATCAGGTGCGTGGCTGGCGAGCATGGTGTTAACGAACCGCTATATTGTATTTTAGAACTGTCATCTTATCCCATTTTATTGTGGTTGTGCGTAATTGCATGTAGTGCTGTAGTTGACCTAATTTCTAGGTTTCTGATCTTATAAGGGTCAACTGATCTAGATTTTGCTGTGTTTCAGCGGTTCGCTCTTTCCATAATAAGACTACCGGTGATTCAGATTCCTTCTTCCTGGTGTTATGATCCTCCTGTGTCTGTGAGACAGCGATAAATCCAGCCAAAAATGAATATGAAATTAAAAATAATGCCACTGTGCCCAGGTCGTGCGTCGGTGGCACAGCGGTTAGGACGCTCGCCTACCATGCACATGGTCCGGGGTTCGATCAGCGGCCACTGACGCACTCCTTCACCTCACCAGGCCAGAAATAAAGCTGATAAAGAGGAAAGGTTGGCTATGAGGCTAGAAACCCCATCCTGTAAAAAGTAAACACTACTACAAAAACTTCAAGCCT